AGAATCAACTATTAAATATTATATAAAATGTGTAATATTAACTATTTTTCATCTTGAGATTAATAAAAAATATCTAGTATAAGTATTATAGAGAAGAGATTATTTTTGTGAAGTAATTATATAAAAATTCTCTTTATCAATATAAGTTTATACAGTCATACTATTTAATTTTAGTAAGTATTAAATTATTAATATTAAATTTTTAACTAGTAATCAATTATTCTTTGAACTGATAGAACTTAGATTAAATCTAAGTAACTTATAAAATAGAAAAAAAGCTGAATTCTATCTATATAATAGATAAAATTTAAAGAAAAAAAAAATTATTCTAAGAATTCTTTAGTGAAATTATAAAGAGATTATATCTATTATAAGAAAAGAATTGAGAAATAATCAGTAAAATTTATAATATTATAATATTCAATATTCTCTTATCTTGAAGATAATAACATAATTAGTGAAATTTTCTACTATTTTTCTGCTTATTCACTGAAAGTCACTAATTTAGCTTTTCTCTTGACTATATTAAGACAGTAAGATATAGCGCTAATTATCATCATCTTTAGACAAGAGAATAGTAGATTAATCTTTTAAATATTCTATTAAATATATAGTCTTTTCTATTCATGAATAAATATATGAATTTTGATTTGAAATTGATGTAAGATGAAGTTTTAGAGTATACTGTAATAGAGATTTTTTAAAATCTTTAATATAAAATCTTCTCTAGAGATTATATCAGTTTATTTCTCTGATCTGAACTCAATTGCATTAAAATCTTATGAAACTGTGATTCTGTGAATGCAGAAAAATGATGAGATGAGAAAAATCTTTTTTATAATAATATACTTTGAGAGATAATTAGAAATGTTTGAGACTATAACAGAGAAGCAGTTGCACGAGCTTATAGTAGAGATAGACATATATAGCTGTTTACTATTAAACAGTTACAGAGACAGAGAGTGACTGTACAGGATTTTAATATTATTATTAATCCCATGATAATGAGAAGACAATCTTCAAACTTGAGAATGCCACATAAGCCCTCATAATGATGATTTAGGGGGCCCCTATCTAGTCAATCCCTATCTAGTCAATCATTCCAGCAGCCCATCCCAGCCAAAAAACATATCAATCCGATCCCGCAGAGACACTTTCTTTGGCGCCACAACGGCTGTGCTGGTTGTAGTGGGCTCCGAGGCTGTGCCACTACTGCCATCATTATTCTTCAATTTCGTTTGGGTCGAAATTCGGGTAGGGTCATATCTATCTTCAGTCCCTATTCGTGGAGCGGGACCAGCTTCCCGAACAATTTGAGCTTGAGCTGCCTTGGTTTGCATATCCCCTCGCTCTCCTGCATCATTCTCGACGCTCCTTGCATTCTCAACGTTCCTAACATTCTCGCTATCCATAAAAGTTACCTCCCTCCCATTAACAGCATTGAAAATATGCCCCAACAGACCTCTGTCAACGACGGACGCCTTCTCCCGAGCAAACCAGTTGAAACTACCGAGGGGGCGCTCGACCTGAACATAGCTTCGTGGACAAAGTGGTCCAAGGCACTCTTGTGGACTGATTTGGCTTTCAATACTTGGAGGCCCAAGATGTTGAGTAACGAGGACCACGACCACGGATAGTAGGATTATTTTCATCGAGCCCAGTGGAACACGCGCGACATAAATCTGAACCAAGTCACTTAATTCCTGCATAATGGCCATGGAGAAAAGGACTACTCGAACCAGCTGATGTACACACCAATAAGGCATGCTTTCCGTTTCAAATGTCGGTAACCCCAAATAACCCAGATCTTCCAGGTCATCTTGCTCCCATTTGCTCCCAGCTTTCTCTAGAGCGTTTTCCCCAGACTCCGTTTCCTCCTTCAAGACCGGATTTCCTAGAGTTTCCATTTGCAGCTGACTACGGAGCAATGGCGCATACTCTGTCTGGGTCGCTGGTTTCTCAAAAAACAGTTTCGGCACCCAAGTTTGCGAAATTGATGCCCCGTAGGGGACTTCCCAGGTTATACGAAAACACCCATCGAGCTCATCTTCCTTACAGAAAATCCTTATTCTCGTTGTCCCAATATCAGCAGCGTTTGCGGTCCTTTTGCCCACACGGAAGTCCCTGCTACCCTTCTCCATTGTCCATTCGAAATCACCCCCGGGTCCATCGCTGATAATAACTGGAATGAAGCCCTCATCGGCACAGAGAATTTTCTGGTAAAGAGACAACGCGCAAACCGCTGTGTACTCCACAACAGCTCTCGTACGAGCTCTCGGGTGACACCTCAAAACCATTCTTACTTCATGGTTCAAGATACGGTTATCGCGCGACTCGCTTGTCAGCAGTTCTACAGCTCGCATCGATAAAGCAAATGGTTCAGCGATATCGAAGTCCGCAATAAAACCCGCGCCGTCGGGAGCCACGCTCAGTAAACCTCTAGCTCCGCAATCCAACTTCTTATTAACTGAACCGTGGAGGATGGCTAACTTAACAGTCCCTTTACCTCCTTGTTTTTCGATTGGTAAACCGGGTATCTTCAGAAGTTGCCAGCCGCCCGGCTGCAGGGGGCCTAGTTTTACTTTCAAATCGAATCCAATAGTATAAGCCGTTGGGACAGAGGTTTCTGGGGATAAAATATAAAAATCTCTGCCGAGTTCTTCTACTATGGCGAGCTCTGGGGCTGGAATAACGGATTCCATGTGGAGGTGCTGTCCCAAGTCGCATTTCTTTGCCAATTCTTCCGCCGAATTCCATGGCATGCTCAGTTGGGATGATGTGGAAGGACTCGGCAACGTGATTGGCTTTTGAGCCTGGCTCTGGTCCAGTATGCCCGTGCTTTGAGAATCACTCTTTTCACTTGCTGGAGTGTTCTCTTTATGGCCTTTCGCGTGTTCTGTCGAGTATCTAGTGGGGTGCAAGGATCGAGATTGAGAGTACTCCTTTAATATTCCATTACCCTCGTTTGTCTTGAGCCAAGTTGAAACGTACACCGACTTATCATTATCTTTTTGACCACTCTCTTTTTCTTGGGTGGTAATTCCGACGTCACTTTGCCAAGGACCCCGGATGTTGCGGCGGGAACCCGTCAGATCAGGCTGCGGGAAGAAGCGGTCAAAGAGAGGAGGAACTTGTCTCACTGCGCCATATGAAAATTTTCTAGTGGGTGATTGCGGTGACTCTGACTCCTGATCAACCCAATGTTTATTCGAATCAGCGGGTAGCGTATTCGGTAGCTTCACTGGCGAGAACTGTTCGTTTCTGGGGGTGGAAGGTATAGGAGAAGGCGATTCATTTCCCGGAACAGGAAATATATCAGATGGAGGACTCATTGTCTTGGAAGGCGAATCAGACATATCTCTAAAATTACCTCCAGACTCCGACGAGTGTGATAACTCTTCAGAGGGACTAGAAGATTTTGCTAGCCGCTGTGCTTTAACGGGTATCCTGCTCACTATCCGTTTCTGAGGCTTTGGGGTCTTGGTAGGCGAAGAGAATAAGGATGTCTCTTGGTCACATGTATCAGTAACCTTGATTTCTTTTTCAGTGCCATACAAGCCTGTTATCGGAAGGCCTCCAAACCCATCAGGACCATTCATGCCACCCTTCAGATCTGCTAACATGGCCTCCATCTCAAAAACCAGATCACCATTTATTGCACGAGCGGTATCGAGACTTTGGACACCGGAATTAGTGTCACTACTTTCTGAAATATCTGTTGCCGATATATCAGTGCTCCTGCTAGCCCCACCATCGTAGCCGTCATCTTCGCCATCGCGGCTATACACAGATTCTTTTTCGAGCGCTAGCACCAGCTCACCAAACGAAGGCAGTCGGCTGAGAGTGCTTGTTGGGCTAGGGGGGAACAGCCTTCTTTTTGTAGGAGGTGGGGATAATTCCATCCCCTTCCGGTATAAGGTCCGTGGCGTTTCATTTAGAGACTCAGTTCCCTCACTCGTAATTCTCTTTAAAATATCGGAGCACTCCATACTCCTCCTGCAGCTCACCCCTGACAAGTTGATAGATTTTTCATCGGATATCTCCTCCAGATGATGGGGAAGACGACTGGCCTCCAGTAGCTTAGCTGGTCCATCAAATTGTAGCAGCTCAACACCATCATTGCTCAGGTCAAGCAGACGTAACCTAGTATTTGGTGCGGACACGAACTTTTTTCCCCATGTATCAGATTGAATCCAGGCATAAAGCACTTGTTGATATAATTTGATGAGGAGCTATCAAGGAAACAGTGGTCCAAGGCCAAAAAAAATGGGGGGTGTATCCGGCAATATCTTACCTCGATCTTCGCGTGTAACGCAACTTGGCTACTCGGGTTACCATCCCACTCACCACTCAAATCGATACGATTGATCACCGGCTGAAGGATAGATTCTGATGCCATCGTTCCAATATCATGAAACCGGGTGCCTGGGCCACCTACTAACCCTCCTTACTGCAGTTTTGAATGGCGGCAATAATAGCGTTGGTCGTTGGATCTCAGTCACCCCATAGGACACCTGTAAAACGAGAGCTGAACTTGAAACCGTAACAAAACGACACAATCGAGAGACATAAAGGGGGAGGATGAAAGCGAAGATGGGTGGGACTTGGGAATAAATTCCGAAGACTGAGACTGAGTGTTGATAAAAAATTAAAAAAAAAATCTAAAAAAATCTAAAAAGCGCGGCAAGCTCGACGTTGTTTTAACACAACAACACAGCACACAGCACACAGTGTTGGGTGCACTGGGGAAACAACGCCCTGGGAGGCTACACACACAAACAAACACATATATTATTACATCAAGGTATGTTGTCTATGTTGTCTATGTTGTTCGTGTTGTTGGTGTATGCTGGATAGCTTCCGTTACAGTTACAGCCTTGTAAGGCATGCAATCATAGCTCTAATCTTCTGCGATGGAACGAACGAGCTCTGGTGCATCATGTTCATGTCGTTATTAAGGGGCGGGAATCCCTGCCATTATCAAAACAAAATAAGAACAGGCATTCTTGTTTTATATTATACCTTAAAATCACCGTGCATTAAAGCCCCTAAATTGATTGAATCTCAACAAAGAACTAGATGAGGTCAGAGATACATTAGTTGACTCCTATACCATTATGAACTAGAGAAGACCCTATTAAGTTATCATTTTAATTGCCCTGTATCCTGAGATCCCGGTTCTCTAAAAGTCCACGCCTTTACCGTTAAGAACTGCCAGCCCCACGTTTAACAGCCTATAGTTTTGAGAATGCACCGCAAGCTCCAAACAAGACAAACAAGAAAGCATAGCAAGAGAAACGGAAAAGGGCGTCCAATAAACTACTTTTATATGAAGGAAAGGAATGCCCCACTGCAAAAAGAGAAAAAATATATAACATACTGTACAAGAAGGAACCAAGGAATGATGCAATTTTTTATGAAACCCCCAGTGAAAAGAAAAAAAAAATAGCATAAAAATAAGACCTGTATGTCCCTTAGGCACCAGGTATGGCTATAGTGTTCCGAACCGGACCCGTTCACTCCCCCCCTTCCATTGACACCTCCCGTGCAAGTCTATCCAAACGAACGAGTATGGAAATGGAGAAATATCATGTCAGAATACAAGGAAGAATCATAAGCCGAAATGAAAGCGCGGGATAAAAAAATATATATAATATAAACAGTCGATCACACGATATTCGTAGAGAGTACGTTATTGCTGCGTTGTGGTAGACGAGCCAGGAGCATCGAAAGCAGCCTGACTGTCACTCCCGTATCTCTCGCCATTGGTCGAGGGACCCGGCTGAGAGGGGAGAATTGGTGGAGTTCCTTGCAAGGATGGATCGTAGTACGCTCGCGGATTGCCGTTACTATTCGACGGAGCTACTTGCCGGTTCGACTGCAGAGGAGGTAGGATGGTTGAGCCTGAAGGTTGGTACTGAGATCGTTGGTACATTTGGGGCATCATCCCCATGCCGGCGGAACCTAGAGAGTAGATGATTCAGGTGAGTGCCCCTGTGGGTAGGCAGAACCGGTTTGTCTCACTTGAGAAGGACTCTGCATGTGTCCTGCGGGTTGACTGAAAGACTGACCAGAAACGATTCCCCCCATATTTGCTGCCTGGCCGGTCCGGCCTGGGGTGGATTCGCCCATTTGCGACATCTGTGCGGAAGAAGAAAGATTGTATGGCATCTGCGCACCCGAGTAAGACTGATACCGTGGTTGCCCCATGTACCCACCCGCTCCAGGGGAGCGGATAGATCCCATAGATTCGTCAGCGAAACCAAAAGGCGTTGGGGTGGATCCTTGCGGTGCCTGTCGAATGGGGTAGTCAGATACCCCAGTGCCAGCAGTTGTATACCCTTGCATCATGCCCTGTTGGTACGCCTGATTTTGGTATGGATTCGTCGCGTGCGGCTGGTACTGGTAGCGAGCATCACCTTCATACAAACCTCGACCACTCATGTCAACGGAGCTTCGTGAACGCTTGGCTTCGGGTCCATTGTAAAAGGGGTAATCTCGGCTTGGCTGGTAAGCAGCTCCGATCTGCTGACTCGACGCGCCGGGGCGCTCTGGTGAACGAGGCTGCGCCAGTGGAGCAGGATATTCTGGCTCCGCTCGAGGCATTGGGCGCTTGCTATTCCAAATCAGCTACCTTTCTACTGAATACCGCGAGAACAGAACTCACAGAAGCGTACGAGCCTCCTTCCGAATTCTCAGCTTAACCCCTTGGTCTGCAAAAGACCTTGAAAGCCATGTAGACTCGGCCATCCCAGGAAAGTTCTTTGGGGGGGACACTATTCAAAATTAGCATTTGCACTAAAGCAATCGCCTTCAAGTAATAACCCACCAGTGAATGGTTTGGAAAGGATTGATTTTATGTAAACGACCTCATCTCTCGTGCCACCACATCTCTTAACCCTGTCAACAAGGTCAGCAGTCATGATAGAAATACGGATTCCACGTGGATCATACTCTCGCATCTCAAACAGGTTAAATTTCAGCCTAAACTCCCCTTCAATCTTAACGGAAAGGTCACCGAAGACGAAAAAACCGCCTTCTAAGGACACCTATGTCAGATACCAACAAACGCTAGAAAATGTCTCGGGGTAGCACTAACCCATATTATCGGTGTCCTTGAGCCGATGGAGTGAAGACACTAAAGTCCCCGCGAGCGCCGTAGATTGAGCTGTGGTCGCCGGCGTATCCTCTGTCGCATTGTACAGGGTGCAGCACATAAAGTAAAACGGACTTTGTAGGTAGTTCCTGGACGCGCTGTAAGCAATTATACCTCTTAAGCTTCGTCGCACGGGAGCCTTACTGCCCAGGGTCCTTTGTTTCATCTATCTTCAGCTGGATTATAGGCGGAGGATCCACCGGCTTGCGTTCTGCGCAAACGAAAAGAACGAAAATAGAAAAGACCATCAGTCCTCAGTTCACAAATGAGAAGAGAATTACTCGGAATGGGAAATGATCAAGTCACCTTTCTCCTTCCCTCCTGCTACACGGGCCCGCTCCGGATTCTGGCGAACCGTAAGCCGAAAGTCCGCACTAACACGCGCAGGAATGTCAGCGGAATTTTTCTGTGTAGATACGTTAACAAACGGAGAACAGAACAACGCACCTTTGAAGAGCCGGCCGCTGTGTAACAGGGTCCTCTGGAAATGTCGGTGCGCTCATGAATATCAGAGTGTTGCGAGTGTTGGCTTGTAAAAATATCCAGGGAACACTTTAGCTCTCCTCCACGCGAAATGGTTCGTAAGACCCAAGGATTGGTATAATGATCCTTGTAGGGCGTACCTAGGGTTAAGAATGGCACTTGGTAGTGGGTTCTTCCCAAGTCTACACCTAGATCGAAAGGAGGTCGACTATAAAGATAAACGGGTAATAGTGCCTGGGTTGGAGGGGAAGAATATTAAGCGTTATATCATGAGTAGGGAGAGCCTGCGGGATAAATCAGTACCGTCGAAAGTGAAGGTATAGTCGAGTGGTAGTGTCGTCAGAAAACCTTTGCGCTTAATGTGGGAGCGGAGCCTGGCCAAGCGGCAATATTGCTTAATTCGCTTCACTACCAGTGCCCACCAAGGAGTCTCTGGGGGTACTATTATTACCTAGTGTTTGTTCCCTCGCTAATAGCGGTCTCCCGGACGAAAAAGATCTTCGTAACGACTTGACCGAGTATGGTGCCCTTGTTTGGATCGGAGCAAAGTGGAGTGAACCGCCCTTGCAGTTGTTCTGAACTTCTGAAGAGCCTAACAGCCCTGCGACTCCACTGGAACAGCCACGGGAGGGAGAAACAGAAACAAGCAAAACGTCACAGAAGAGCTGAAGACGGGTTCCCGAACTCGACTCCCAGCTATGATGCGTTGACACACACTTCGTACCGTAGTTTCTATCCTGGCCGCGCTTGCAATCGTGAGAAGGTTGTGGACGAACCAAGGATCCGATCTGGACTGCCCGGTATATTTGAGTTCAACGGTCGACACTGCCTAGAACCCTAACGGGATAAAGGAGGGTCTCGTTGGGGGAGTTGTCTTCGAGGCAATCCTGCTCGACAACTAGCCGAATGCCGTCCGTTTGCAGCAGATAGGTAGTGGTGGTCGTCTAGGAATATCCTATAGACTGATTAACATTCCCGGTGCTTGTTGAGCCTCATGTCGATAAGGTACAACTGACAATGCGTGCAAGCGCTGCGAGTGCGCGCGGTTGCCACTCGACGGGCGCCAGGGAGAAGTCAAACCTTGGTATAGACAATGCTTATCTCTTCTGGTACGTGGGGAACTCTTCGTATCGTGGATCGTGGAAGCAGAAACAAGTCTAAAATGAATCTGGTAAAGGGGCTTGTCCGCATCCCGCTGTAGTATCTTGTACCTGGATCGACACACCTCCTAATATCATTTCCCTGGCAAATTCGAGCGCGAAAAATAAATGAAATCGATGAGCCAGTTGCAGACTCTAACAATCCGGAGTCGTTATCGTGTCGTCACCGTCGTAGTGGAAGGCAGTATGGTTTGCGGTGAGAACCGGCTGAACAATTAGGGATTAGGGGGGGGGGGTTAAAAGGGAATGTCCGAGAGGGGAAACTGTTTAACAATAATGGGAGCTCTTGATCACGCACACACGAGTCTACGACACTTCACAAGGTAATACCCGTCAACGGACAACAGACAACGGACGGCAAACGTGAACACATCCAAGATCGTCGCCAATTGACCAGCACAGGGTAAGATTTTTGTATTCATATAACGGAGAAACCAATCTCCCCAAGATCTGCGAAATGTGGCGGGACACTTGATACAAAGAGCATTAGCCACCCTGCAGCGATCCTGTGAATCTGCGGCCTCGGACAAGTTTTCTCTTCTCTCGGAACTCACAGACAACGCTCCTGATGGATTGAGAGATCAAGAGAGTGTAACGCTGGTGGAAAGCAAACTCCAGACTCTGGAATGGAAGCTCATACAACTAGGGGAACTGTGCAGATGGAAATGATATATCCTACGGCTTGCAAAACCATTCAACAAAGAAGCTCTGTTTGTCAATTAACTCCACCTCCCCCCAATGATTGTTGTTTGGCTGTCGATCCGTGCCTAAAACGCGAACATCTATTTCCGACACAGAATGGCGGTTTCGAGAAACAAGGGCGTCGTGTTGGCAAAGAAAAAAGAGACGGCTACTACTCATTGAGTACTCTGTACGGAGTACGGCGGGAGGAATTGCATGCAGGAGACGACGGCTCCAATAATGTCCACTGTTGGTCAGGGCGAACGGTCGGCAAGGCAAGACAGAATCATTCCTCTATGTATGTACAGTACATGTTGGCTCCTTACTGGCCTTGCAGTATGGGAATGAAGTCAATGCTCCAGACCCCTGTTCATTGGGGCTTGGAAACATCGACGAAAAGGATCGGCCAGATGCAGGAAATCACATCTTATTGGGCAGATCACATCACATTTCCCAGTGAAGATGCGGTCCAGGGACGAGTGATATCTCAAAGCACAGGCTTTAGCTTGAAATTCGGGTTGAGTTGGCCGCGAACACACCCTCTGGAATTATTTGACTAAAAGAGAGACTTTCAAACTCGAGGGGCATGGCATTGCGCTGGACCTCATGCTAGTTACCTTGGGAGCTGTAAGTAATTATTAATGAATAATAATGTTCTGAGTCCACAGAGTTGTCAATAATAAAATACGAATGACACCAATACGATGCTAGGAAGCTTGAGCACAAACAGAGCGCGCGCTGTTGTGTAGCTTGGCGGCTCGAGCGCAAACAAGGCTGCTGCCCCTTCCTCATAATCGACGTTCAGCGAGTCCTGCAAAGCGAGAGCGCATACTATTTTCAAGTGATCTATGAGGGTCACTATTATTGGCATCATCGACTGTGTATTTCCAATGTTCTGGAGGGCCAAAACCAAGTTACATACCGACTGCTTGAGCTGCCTTGCATTGACGTTTCGACATGTACCGCACTCTTGGCATTGCCGCTCGGCTCGTAAACATGCCAACGAAAGGATCACGAATAATCGTCCTGTCCGGTCGGAGAAATCTCTTTAAGCTCTACACGATTATCCACATCGAGACGATGAACTTGGGTCGGAATGGAGATGGCGCCCGGGAACTGCTGGTTAGTTTCGCGTGGTAATTTCAGATGGGTCTTCACTATTGTGCTGGAACCGTGAAGCTCCCGGACCCAGGACAATTAGTGCCTCCACCATGCCAGACACTCGAGCCCAGAAGGCATGAGTTCCAAGAAGCCGAAAGCATGGCCGAAACAGGTTTCAGAACCTAAGCGTCGAACAGAATACCTTTGGCCATTGCAGATCCATAGATCAACGGAGCGCGAATGTGTTCTAATTTCTTCGCAATTATCGTTTCGCGCTTCGCATCATCCGCCTCCCAAATTCGATGTGTGCAAGCGCAATCACAAAACGGAGCATGGAGCGCTCCTAAGATGTTAGCCTGTTGACAGCTGGTAGTGGAGAAAGGTTGTCCATCTCAGCCAAAAAATTAGATCCAGCGATGGGGGGTTGATGGAAAAGGAGCAGCCTCACCTTGTCAGACTGGCCTGCAGGCTACAGCTAGTAGAGTCCAACAGCCAATCATACCCAAGCAGCGACTGCATCCATTTCGAATATCATCGAGTTTGTGGCTAGTCAAACCCATCGGCATATTCACAGAACTCCGATGAATCAGCCCAACGAATCCTGTGTCACCCACCTCCCGAAAGGGGCCAAAGACAAATGCCGGTTTCCTACAGCTACGACAAGTCTACAGTCTGTACATTTTCGAATGATGTAGGCGAAGGCCTCTGCCGATAGTCATGATCTCCAAACATTACTACTCTAGTGTTCTATACTCTGTACCCTCTTTCTATTCAGTTATAAACAGAGTACAGTGCGTGTATGGAAACAACGAATGTGCTTGCGATAGAGATTTTAAGATGGATATAACCCTCAGCGTGTATTCACGAACTCACTTCAATTTGTCTCCCAGACCCCTTTTAAGGACTTTGGCTAGGGGCCCAAGGCCGCCCTGCTCTAAGACCTGCTTTGACCTCATGAAGTCACCATCATTCCGCTAAGACAATGTGTATTGGTCGTTAGACCGCGAGTATCGGTCACAAGATCGTGTGATAAACGGCCCATTCATCGCCGCTCAATAAAGTCAGTCTGTGGAACTCTCCGTCCGTCATCCTGCACCTTTACCTACCGGAAAATTAGCGGGAAAAGACTCAAGCTTCCAAGCAATGTAGGTGAATAAATTATTTCCTCAAATCTATCAAGGATGAAAACCCGTTTTTTAAAAGCCAACATCTATGATTATTTCAACCTTTTGCCAGCGCCAGAATGAGTCTCAATAACTCCTTATCACAGCCTTGAACAGATATCTGAGGTCGCCAAATCCGTGGATACATAATAATTAAACATGCTTCTACCTTATACGAATCCATGGATCCGTTGCAACTGACAGGTCTCCTATCTTGGGATCGACCCGCAACACTTGCAGATTCGTAACCAGGCCTAACCTAGGGCTTAGAGGAGCTTCTCAACGTATACGCAGTACAAACTGTCAGTCAGGTTAGATATCAGGCGACTCCTTCCTGATGAGATAGATACATATTCGAGTTCGAAAACAGCCAAAATGCCAAAATGACCATGTGGTTCTGAGTTTTCTAATTGGGCCGATTTATCGGACCCCCTCGTGCGAAATTTGTGAAATTTTTTTATTTCTCCTTCTCTCTCTCTCTCTCTTTTTTTTTTTTTTTTTTTTTTTTTTTTTTTTTTTTTTTAAACTCGAACCCAGTCGTTTCGGGCTGACCAACATCATCATTTCCTCCCGTCATGCTTTGCCCGGTGATTTCAAAACAGATTGTCGACATGAAGAATCGAGAAAATGGACCGTATGGGCCAATTGCCCTTTATTGAATGCAAATCCCATCATTGAGCATGTTGATGGCAGTGTATCAATGACACACCCGCTTTCATTTCAAGAAACCCCCTCCCCCACCCCCCCCCAAAGACCGACTGACCAATGAGTGCATGTCTGCCTGGAAGCATGATAACAATCATTCCCAGCCCTGCTCTTTTGCTTTTTCCCTCAACCTTGACTATATTGTTAACAATACCTTGGCGGTGCTACCTGCTGGTGGCTTTGAACAGGAATTTATACATACACCGCCATAATTGATAGTTAACTACGGAGTAGTTACACCCCTGCTGATTTAGAATAGACATGGCTCAGTAATTGACTTTCCATTAATTATGTAGTAGTTATATTAAATAACTGGAAATCTTATATGCATAGTATAGTATGGACATAGGTAAAAGTGGTGATTCAAAAATCAACATTCTGCTCTAGCCTAGGGCCCCTCAAAAGAATGAAAATAGTGACTAAAAAATCAACATTTCACTCTAGTCCCAGAGGCCTCTCTCTGCATCAAATCTACAATCTCTATATCTCTCAAATAATCCTCATCTGCTCAAGAATCCTTCAAAACTGCCTGTTCTGTCTGCTGCACATTATAAAACAATAGAGTTGAAATAGAGAAGCTCTCATTATCAGTTGCAAGCAGAGATTGCTTCAAAAAATTGTCTATTAATGATTCTTAAACTCAGTAGTGAATAGAATGATTGAATCGGTGCAAGCAAGCCCCCTACTGCTATATACAGCGTAGGTGGGTGCCGGGGTCGTTTTGGCTGGTGGTTAGGGGGCTAGGTCCTGGCAGCTCTACGCTTCGTATAACTAATAATAACTATAAAAACCATGAACAACAGATCTGTGAGCTAACAGCAGAGATTCAGAGAGCTCAAAGAGAAATGTCATAGAGAAGAAGCGTGCAGAGAGACTTGCAGAGAGACTTGCAGAGAGACTTGCAGAATTGATTGGGAATATATAATTCTACTATTGATTATATTTCTATGATTTTCAACAGAGAGGCAGTTTCTTTGTGAATCAATAAGCTGTCTCAGCTTCACTTTTAGCGGGTGGGTGTACATAAATCCCCTTTTGAACCTCCAGAATTGAGCTAGCGAGCATCTTATTAACCTCTTTGCTTGCTTTCTCCGACCCTTGAACTTAAAAGTCAATGGAGACCCCATCTTCGGCGCCGTCGGCTTGGCCAATCCTGCTTTCTCTGAGGGTGGGTGGAAAAGAGAAATCTGGAACGATGGCAATTGTGGATTCTTCTCTCAAGCATGTTCGGCCGTTTGGACCAACTAACTTAACTTAATACTTCGAAGCTAATAATAAAGCTGATGGTGGGTGACAACGACCGCAACCTTGGAAGTTTTGCGATGAATGACCTTTACGGAGGACTTCCTCCACACAAGGGCATGACGGTTTAGCTCCCCCACCACGCCGAAGTTCTCTTCACACAATATATTTGGATATTCGTCCCAAATTACTAGAAGGGAAACTATTATGGTCTGAGGCCGGCTGGAGCGATTTAAACCCGTTCAGACTGGAGAAATGTGTATATAATACAAATGCACAATGCATTGCCGTTTTCCGACTCATAATACTTGTTTAATTATTTTCGGATGTCCTGCACTCCCGTTGGATAGATACACGGGAAGAAAATACTTGTTTTCCCTTCTTTACAAAACATCAGTATGAGACATTGGTATTTACGATATCGTTGCTCGACAAACGGACACGACATCTCTGTGAAATGCCGGAAAGCTACGTTGGCTGGAATAGCGCAAAGTTGAATAAAAGAAGAAAAGAGAGCAGAGAGAGAGAGCCGAGAAGCGAAGTCTTCACTCCCTTATAATAATATCTCACACTCAGATTGACGAAACAATCGAGCAAGCTCTATTCTGAAAATTATTGACTCCTTGTCTCGCTTAGGTCTCGCAGACGTAGCCCAGTCCTCAAACCTGGTCCACGGTGAAGCTTAGTTAGTAGTCGACCGGATACTAATAAGTAAAACTTGGTGAGTTTACCAGGATCAGAGGTTAGAGAATGTCCACCGCGTCCCAATAATGGCAGCAAAAAAAAAGTGTACGCGGCGGAGCTTTTAAGTAGCCAGATGCACGAAAAAGCACTCCTCAATGCAAGACTTCCTTCAGGTCCAGGTACGGATGAATAACTCAAACATAATATCTTGGTCCTTACATTGTTGAGTTGTTTTTTTTATTCAGTTCAACTGGGATTCCTGAGCTAATTGGACCAGGTCTGGTCTGGCCACGATGCCCCCCTCTCGCTGGCTCAAACAACAAGACAACTTAAATGATGTAGAATGTTTCTATAGGCTTGGAGGGCTTTCTAGATGGCAGCTGAGAATTAACCACGCAGGTTCCCAGTCGATCCTACAGGCAATGAAATAGCGGGGATTTTTTATATTGTTGCCCCGCTGATTTCAAGCTTCAGTATGTTTCAGTTTCTAAACAGGGAATCCTCGACTTCTCCGAAAGCCAAGGCTGATATAAAACATTTAATGAATCGAAATTTCTTCATGGTAGGGTAGGGATAGGTGATGTCCCCTTCCTATATACGCGCTTTTGGCGCTAATCTTGCAAAGGCTCGGCGTACTGGATATTGTATCTCACCAGCTCCTGATCAGCAGATCACCACACTGCAGCAGAAAGGGGAGTTTATCCGGGCAATTATCTCGTTGGTGCGGAGAAATGATGGACTTGATCTTGATGATGCAGCAAGCAAATGCTCCCGAGGAAGCTGAGTACGAGATATTCCTCCTAGCTGGCGTTAAAAAACGTCACTTCTCCACCGTGCTAAATACGCAGCGTAAAGGTGTCCTGATGCTACAGCATCTTTATATACCCGATTTTGGGCAGGTATAAAATAAATGGCAGCAATCTAAATCTGTACTGCTTCTAGAGATCTCTTGAGTGATTCCTCCTATCGGATATATCCGGCTATACTCAATAATAATAACTACCCACACAACCGTCGTAGTTCCATCCGTACGCGCGAATGTAAAAAAGCGGATAAAAAAGCAAACATGCGCGATGCCCAGTGCTCTGCATTAGCAGAAAAATCGGTGAAGATCCCAACAGCCCAAAACTTATTTAGTTAGAACAGGGCGAATAAGAAGCCTGAGTTCCTAGCGACGGGAGAATACCATGGGTAACAAGACGCAGGGAGAAACCCCCCCCACGGAATAACTATGATTCAGGCTTCCTCGGATAGCTCGACCGAACTGTGGTTTGGCTGTCGATGCAGATATGGTTAGGTTGGGTGGGAGTCAACCAGGATATTGACTAACGCCCAGGAGCTTATAAGTGTTCTGTTGATTCTTTGTGTGTATCGTTATATTATTCTTATTCGTCGGGAATAGGGATTTTTGATATGAAGAGTTTTTGTCAACAACGCAGTATGTATGCACGGAAAAAGAGGGGAGGGGAAGATATATATCACTTTTCCGTCAGCTGTCAAGAAACAAAACTGCCTCTAAAGGGCAATGACAGATAACTAAATAACTACAGGATCTTGATCTGATCCCGCATGCGCCTAATGTGCTCGGTTGGAAGATACATCTCCAGTCTGGCAGCACAACAGCAGCACAACAGCAGCAGTTAGGTAATAATAACTAGTCGGAATTTTCCAGTAGTTAGCCTCGCAGGACCATGCAGGGCGGCAACAGAGAAGAGAACGCATTCCTCCACTCCATTTTCTTTGTTCAATGTTGGGATGGTCATTTTTCTGGACATAAAAGGGGGGTGGGGTTTTTTCTTCCCATTATTTGAATATCATTCATTTGTTAAATAAATAGTTGCTTACAACTTAACTACAGGTTTGTTGCTGACGCTCATTCGCTAAAATCCAACCCCCATCATCATTTCTTTGTCTCGCTTTCCGACTCTTGCCCCCCTTTCAACCCAAATCGCATCCAATGATGTGAAAGCGTCGAGAATAGTCCGTTACCGCTCATGAGGTTCCTTATTGCAAAATATGATCTGATAGAGAAAAAAATCATATAATATGAAATGTGACAAAAGAAAAGAAAAGAAAAGAAATCAAAAAAAAAAATAAAGAACTAAAAGAAATAAATGACTAGACTGGGGTTCGATCCCAGGACCTTATCGGCACATGTGGTATGCTGACTAAGCTTGCGCTTTGCAGACCAAGGAATGTGAGCGATACGTGATAACCAACTACACCATCCAGCCACTCTTGGATGTCAACGAGCCTCCCAACAGGACTTTTTTCCATAGGCGCAGAATAATTGTGGACTTGACTCTTATTTGAACATTTCTCACAAACCACTCAGATCAGATAAGGGATAAGCCCCTGAAACAAATGAATAAGTGATGGCGACATTCTCTTATCGTGTCAAGTCAAGTAAGTACATTACGTGTGCGGAATGTCCCGGGTGTTTATTACAAAAAGGTGTGTGTGTGTGTGCGTGTGTGTGTGTGTGTGTGGGACATTTAAGGGCAGTGCGAAGAAGTCAATCATCCCGCCTGATTCCGGCTTCCTGCCATTCACAAAATATAGTTATACAGAACTCTATGCACATCTTATCTACTCTACAAATCCACACAGCCTCCTGTGTATTCTACCCATGACGCAGGACATTCTCAGGACCTTCTCAAGGACCGACCGGTTGTCTCCTGGATAATTAATCATAGGCGTAAGCGATTAAACTCTGGACCCTTCCCGCCATTGGCTAACTGGGGTTCGGTTCATGTGTATGGGTATATATATATCAAAACCTGTTTGCTAGATCTTGGAACTTGAAGATTAAGCCAAACCTTAAACCCCGCATGGGGTTTCAAACAAAAAGGGAGAAAGAAGTAAAAATGTAAAAATGACTTCGGCATATCAAATAATGGAAGGATGCAAGCCCTCGAGTGAGCAAAAGAAACTTTCGTGACAAGATTATCGCACGCACAAACAGAGGGAAGGCTACGAGCATGGAACCCTGGTAACTTGGTAGCTCGAGACGCAGGTACGAGGAACAGAAGAGTAATGCTGTGCTAGATTACTTTGCTACCTATATGTGGGGGTCAACTATTAGAGCCTGTATTAACGTAACATCATTAGCTGCCACTAAAGACCAACGGAGTTGGCCTGAAACCAAGAACAAGCAGCGAGCAGAGAGAGAGAGAGAGATGGATGCGTCGAAATTATTCCACGTGCCAAAATATCCCATTGGCTCAAAATTGATGTAAACTAGGACCAGTTAATGATAATAATAAAGTACAGAGGATAGTGAGATATGTGTCTGTTACAAGATAGGGGTGACAGAAGTGCATGGAGGAGAAGATCGGTTTAAGGGTCGTAGGCGGAATAGCAGACCGGATGAATTGTGCGGCGAATGTCACAAAACGAGACGCCAATGACGATTTTAGGTGCGAAACCCGAAATGGGAAAATGGGCGTGCATTTCAGAAGAAAAACAGAATGATATGATTCCGGTAACTGGAGGGGAAATGAGCCTGAAATCACAGAGAAAAAATAAAAAATAAAAATAAAACAGTGGTATAAAAGGAAATAAAGGAGAATATCATTGAACATGCCCATAACCTCCACATGAACCAACGTAAAACTCCTTATTGCGCCCTAAGAAAAGTCAGAACGAATGGTGATAAGCTCCAGCAACGTTATGACATTCAGAAATATCAGATATATCGCTGATTCGAGTAGAGAAACAGCCTCCATCGTCGACAAGGGAAGGGATGTCGAAAGTTATTCTCAGGTATCTTCATCAATGCCATCGATCGACTGGTGATTGCTGTCAGCCCCCTGGTTAGCTTCCTGGGCACCTTCATGGTCCACCATATCCAAATCCGTCGCATGGGACTTATTGCCTTTGTTGACTCGAGATGGTGTGATAGCGTAGGCAACTTTGTCGACATTCGTGTTGCCATTCTCGAGAGCGCCGGTAGCCCTGCCCTTGCTACTCGAACCGCCAAGCGACTCAGATGTAGCCCTGGCACCAATCTCCATAGCGCTCGTCTCTATCTCGGCAGATTCGAGCTCCGGCTTCTCCAATTGCTCAAGTTCACCGTCCTCCCTGCTTTCAATACCATCACCCATAGTTTCATTAGCATCATTAGCGTCAAGGAGCCTGCTACTTCGCCCCCTTCGGAGGCCACTTGTTCGACTCGAAGGTGTCGGAGTGCCCGTAGCCTGGCTGGCGGTTCGCTTTGGAGTACTGCGGCCACTTGTTCGTGCGGTAGTGGGAGCAGTGGCTGTAGTCGTGCGTCCTTTGAACTTATTAGCACGAGTTGAGCCGAATGGCCGACCTGGTCGACGTTTGACAACTGTTCCTTGGATGGGGGGAAATATTTCGAACCGCGTGGGCGGGATTCCAGCTGCTGGATTCTGTATCATGGACGACGCTGACGGGGTTCTGGCGCCGTTTGTTTGCCTTGACGAATGGTCATCGAAGTGCATCACACTCATTGATGGCGGTCCAGGGGGTTCAAAAGGGGGCGATGCGTATCTGGCTTGGCGGTGTCCGTTGACGAGACCATCTTGCATGCTCCTTGTATCACCATTCACATTTTCTGCTCGGTTGGTATACATATTGCTATCGCTGTTGCCTTCCATATCCAGATCGCCGTCCACATCGGGCTCATCGCGCGGGGCAACGGTATGTAGCGGTGCTCGGTCATAGTGTGACTGGTTGCTGCGACCCATAAGGTAGGGAGTCCAGACAAGTGCATCTGGATTGAGCCGTACGTAATTTTTCTTCTCCCAGTTTCGAATATATTCCTCGAAATAGGCATAATTCAGTCGCAGGGCGTACGTTTTTGTTTGGGGATCCCGTACGAGGGCCCGCAATCCCTCCAAGCCTGACACGATGTCATCTGCTGTCATCCCGGTGCGCTCTGACAGCTCGGCAATACTGACGGGAGACTTTTGATTTCGCAGCTGGTATGATAAGACCAGACGCCAATAATTGCGGTATGATACTAGACCCAGATCTGAGAGTGGTTTTTCTGGTGACCCTGTTTTCCGTTCCACCCTCGTTAGGAGATAGGAGAAGTCTATCAGGAGATTGCCATAACCTTTCCGCTGGTGGATGGGGAGGGTTAAGATGCATGACACATTATTTGATGAGCTGGGCCTCTTCTCCTTGCTGAAGTAGCCAACGAAGTGGCAACCTAACTCATCATATTCTGTCATGACATAGAAGAGGAACGGTTCGACGTCGTAGTACAGCGTTTTGGATCCTAGGAAGAGTTTCGCAAGCAAGCAAAGGTTTTGGCAGTATACGGGGTTCTTGCGACCATCAACTTCGAAAACAGCCACCGATCCGTCTCGGTATATTTCATCCCCCGGAGGGTGTTTCGCCGGGCATTTCAGTTTGTGGCGCCAGGCAACAAACGCCGAATTCATGTATTTGAGACAGAATTCGCAGATGTAGAGCACACGGTTTCTACTGTATTCTTCTGGATAAGGCGCAGCATACCACGTTTCAATCTCGTAGCCACCAAAGCTGATGTATTTTATTTTGCTTGGTGGACCAGAGATCTTTTGTGAGGCACGTGGTGCTGGGTCACCGGACTGGTCGACAGCAGCCATTTTCTGTCTCCATTCTTCTTCGGCTTTTTGACGAGCGGCCTCGAACTTCTCTCGATCTGCAGCAAGGGGGAGTGTCTTTGACGTGTCAGCGTCAGCTTCTGATAAGATTCCCCCGTAGGGTTTCGATTTGAGCTCATCGTTTTCTCGATCGTGGAAGGCGTAAAAGGGAGCGCTGTATGTCGCGGGGGGGATGGGGTGAAAATGAGGCTGGGGCGGTTCAACCGCTGGCGGTGGCTTCGGACGTCTTCGTCTTGAGACTTTTAGTTTTGGCCGGGAGCTCAAGATTTTGTTTAACTTTGTACTATTTAGGTGAAATGAAAGAATGATCTTTCCTGGCTGACGCTGAACAACATTACAAAGGGGCTTTTCGGTTTTGCGCGTTCGTCGTGATCTCGACTGGCGGGCAGTAAGGGTGCTCTCTGCAGAATTTTCGATCAACGCTTGTACTGCTTTCATATTCCTGGGCAGAGGAGTGGGAATCATCCCCTCGAATCTGGTGGGCGTTTTCTTTTGTCGTTTCTGGGTAACCGTAGTCGCTTCTGGACCCTCGTCGAATGCCCTCCGCTTCCGAAGCGACCTAGAGCCATCCAGGGGATCATCGTCGACTATTAACGAGCTGAAAATAGAATGGGACTCCGGCCCTAAAGCTTCGCTATGAGCGGGTAGTAGATCTCGTGCAATGTTTGATGTGCCTGATTTTCGCCGGGATGGCGTCTCTTCAGGTTTATCAGGTTCTAGTTTGCTTCTAACACAGCCAGGACACCTCCAATCTTCAGCATCTAATAAATTTCACAAGTTAGTTATATTGTTCAAGGAGCTAAAAGTGCAGAGATGAGAGAAGAGATTTTTCTTTTTTTCTTTTTTTCTTTTTCTTTTTCTTTTTCTTCTTCCTTTTTAAAAAATTTAAATACCTTCGTCGTTAATTAAAGCTCCTCGTTCTCGCGCACATTGGCGGTGACCTATGGGCCGATAGATTAGCCTCAAACTCCACAATTTCGTCAGGGGCACGAGCCAAGCTTTTTAAACCTATCGAAACTTACAATGATCACGACAAACAGCACATGACAAATATTCTTCGAACTCTTCGCTGGGATCGTGTTCTTCGTCTTGGCCACAGACTCTGTATGTAATTAGCAATTATTTGCTTGCTTATGGATGCGTATTTTTAAACTTACATGCAATTGTTGGGATTTGATGCATCTGCTTCTGCATCTTCCACGTCATTACTTTCGGCCTCCCACTCCTCATCTGCTTCCGATCCTTCAGAGGAATCGTCATCGGAATCTGCCTTGACTCCGTTGGATTCGTTTTCGAATTCGACATCCGGGTCATTCGGGTCATCATCCTCACCATCACTGTCAGATTTGGCATCGCCATCTGGAAATTTCACCGCTCCGATAGCCTCAGTCTCTTCGTCTCCATCCCTATCCGCGTCGGCAACCCCATCTATATTGGCAATGTCATCCTTATGGTCCGCCTCAGGATTATCCACTCCCCCAGCGCCATCTTCTCTATTCGCCTCGTTTTCACTCGCTGTGATTGTCTCCACGTCTTTCCCAAGGTTTGAAGGAATATCGACATTTTCCTGTGGTATCGTAGGCGCCGTTTGGGGGAGACTTGGATAGAACTCATCATCCTCATCGCCCTCGGCATCTTGGTCACTATCCACTAGGTCTGGCTGTCGATCGATGCTAGTATTTCCGTATGCGGCCGGCACAGTCGCCGCCATGGTATAAGCTACTGCAGTCGCCAGATTGACGATGCGCTTAGACCATTGGGCCACTCTGCTCGGGTCGGCAGATGACTGCACAGCTTGTTTTTTTTTTATATGTCGTCAAAGAAAATAGGAGGCCTCTGTGACGGAGGCTTGCGCCCCCAGCGGTGGAGATGCGGGTGTCTGAAGCAACGCCGTGGGCCACAATCAACGAGATCTATAAACCACCAGTCTGCGTAAAAACCGACCATGCGATCAAGGCTATAAGTAGTAAATCAAAGTTTCTGAAAGTCATGGCGGTATATGTTAGTTGGAAGTTTCATTGAGGTTGCACGCGGATTGTCGGGAAAACGCGCTGGGAACTGGGAAGAAAGAACACCAGAGAAAAAGCGCACAGTAGTACTTACGGCACCTAACGACCGGACGCGTAAATCACAGCCGGCTCATTCCTCAGTCTGCTCTTTTGCCAGCTGATGCTCTATCTCTGTGAGCCCCCTCTTGGCTGGGTGAGGTCTGGCTTGACGAATTTTGCTTACTCACCAAACGCCAAGCCTTTTGAGCGCTAAACTCCATTTGGCTCACTCTAAACCATCGTCATTCCATCCATCCCGGCTGCAACACATCTTCTCAATTCCGCGTTTCTTTGTGCAATTGCGGCTTCTCAGGAGGGGCTGGGTCTTATATTTCCTTTTATTATCGTCTTGAAGCGCATTCTACAACGATGGGCGTTCCGTTTGAAGCCCTTCTCCCTTACGGGATTATCGTGGTGGTAGGTTCTACCCTCCATTGACACTTACCGGAGAACGGATACTCACTTCACCACTCTTAGATGTTCGGTGTCACTGGGTTCGGGTTGTCGACAGTGAAGTACTATTCAAACGGAAGAAAAAACCCAAGACGGGGTATAGATATGTGGGATAAGGTATGTTTTCGTTTTGCGATCCATTGATAGGATAATTCGCTGACCTTTTCACAGCAAAGTACGTATGCGCACAATCTCCGCCGGATAGCGAAGACTGACATTCTTTAGTGATGGAACGGGACCAGCGGATCACGGGGATATTTAGAGGGCAGGATAATAACCATGAAGCGCCGGTGGGATTCGAGGTTAACAATCCATGGAAGGTAAGGAAGGGATACTGCAGTTGTCCTTTTTTTTCTCCTCGAGGTAACCAGAGCTGACCATATAACTAGACCGAGAGACGATTTTTCTAAAAGAAATTCCTTTTTTCCGCTTTATACTTTGCCATAACTACACATATTTGTTACGTTACAAGATCAAATGAGGAAAGACAGTCGTATTCTGCATTTGAAGAGGAGCATTAGCAGTGTGGTCTCGTCTTGTTTATGTCGATGTCTGAATTTCCACCACCGAACCCTTGATTCCTCGAACCTCCATTGGATGGAGATGTACATTAAACCATTTTTCCAATGCAGAAACTCTATCGGCTTCAGAATTTAGAATCGCGATCTTCTCGACATTGCCGTTGATATTTTGCTTTACATCAACTCCTGTTAACGCCAGGGTCCCGATGATGTCGTCCTCCGCTTCACTGAGAAGAAATTTGGTGCAGATGAATTTCTGCTTAAAGGTGCTGGTGGGGTGTTGGCTCGTCCAGAAGTTCAGGATCTCGTAGTCTTGTGGCAGGAATTCAATGTTGTAGAAGCAGTAGGCGTCTCTCCAATCGCTTTCTAGGTCTGGCCTTGTTTGGTACATCCAGAGCCGTTGGCTACGGTCCACATTTGCGCTGATATTGCTTTTGACCACCCTCATTTGCGCGGGGGCGAAGGTCGTGGCGGGTTTATCCTCCTCTAGCAAGAGAGGGCGGGTGGGACCATTGGGACCAAATCCAACATCCACCTAATGCCGCAATCATTAAGCACTGTCCCGTACTGTAGAAATGTCTCTCGAGCACAAGAGGAGTAGAGACTTACCATGTACTTCTTCCCATCAATAGCCACGACTAGTATCATGTGGCCCCTGCATATACCAATCAAGTTATTAACTTATATCACAACAGAAAGGGGTCTGGATAATTTCCAGTTGATCCTTTCTCTCCCCTTTCTCGTCTAGCTCATGTCGGGGACACTCTTTATTTTTCTCAGAATTCCTCACCATCCATGAAATTGACTAGCAGCGGAAGGCGAATCGTAACCCTTGCTCACTCTTCCCGCAGTAGTATAAAACTGATATCCCAGCGAACGGATCACTATGGCCAGGAGTCCTGTGTTTTCCAAGCAATAGCCACCTAGACCGCGCTCTATAAGTTTATGAAACAGATGGTCAGGGTCCAGCGAGATGGTGTTGTGTTGGGAGTAATGCAAAACGATATTGGAAAACGCTACGGTGGCGAGCTGTCGTTGTTGGAGCACAGTCAATGCCGTCAGAGGGTCCCTTTGGACAAGTTCTTCAAGCTCAGACAGCTTGGTCAACCCTTGGTCTACTGGACAGTTGTAGATAAAGATGAGATACTTGGCGAGTTGTTCGCGGGTATAGGTAGGGTGTTCAGAGGCCATATTATGCGTGTGAATTGAGTTCCGTAGGTCCAGTTTATTAATTCCACAATATATCTATATATTAAAATAATTTGATATCCAAGAGACTCAGAAGACCGGTTCCCTCAGGCGCTTTTATTTTAGCATAAATATTAATAATTGTTGGAGGTAAATATTCCATGTCGCGGTGCTCATTCCGTTCAAATATTTAAACAGCGCTAATCGCTAGTTAAATAATCCACAACGGCCTCGCGGGGCCTCGTACTTTCGTTTATTTATTTATTAGTTAGTTGTTTCTTGGGTGGCGTTGAGAAATCACCTTCAGAAAAGGGAGGGAGAATAAAGATCGATTCTTAAAGCAAAGGCCTAGTCTAGATTGAAACCTCTCAATGATTTATAACTAGGAATATTCCGATGACATATTGTAATCCTTGTTTTGAACCCACCCAAACGAATGCCCCCCTCTTTGTCGTATCTGAGAATAGTTAATTATTAATCAATAACAATAACAATCAATGTCTGTCTCGCAGAACAACTCATAACACACACTAACTACCTACTACTAACTTTCCTACGACTTCTGCATCGCTCAACATTATATACATACAAGAAATGCTCCTCCGATGCCCTTGAGATGGGAATAGAAAAGAACAACGACAGTTGCATATCTCCTGAACATTGTCCCATAGATCAGGACCCTACTAACTACCACCGCCCGCCTGTGTTGAAATTTGTTCCCCCAAGTCTTTTCGAAGTTAGTGTGGTTCCTGGTCTGATATTTAGTCCGTTGATATCAACCGATCAATCCCTCCCCCGCTGCGCAGTATGACATCAGAATCGCTCGAGGCGAAGTTAAATGCTCTGCAGGAGTATTCGGTTTGTGATGTATGTAATTTTCTATATAAATTTATCCCGTGCAACCATGTGGTAGCTCGAGACTCACTTCAACCGGAAGGTTTCAGACGCTCTTCTGAAAATCCAAAAAGTACCAAATGGTCAAATTGCTCGGGCGGGATTCCTCGCTGATCTTGGTGAGCGCGCCTTTGTACTGCACACTCCCAGATTTCCATGCCGAATTTCAATGATGCTAGAAGACCATATCGGGTTTATCAGTTCAAATGCATCTCCCATTGAAGTTGTTATTCATTGGCTCAAAAGGGAAGGAAGAGGAAGTTCGTTATTCATACCTATCAGAATAACTAAATCAATAATTCTACGAAAAAAGTCCCCTTCTCCCCTTCGCGGATCAACTTCGAAAACCAACCCAAAATAATCGCCCCGGTGTCTACCTTCAAATTCATACCTAAAGATGATCCTGTCCCTGAAGATACATCACCATCAAAGGAGCACAGCTTCCCACCGCGCCACCACTGGGTGGACTGCGCCCAGCCTGGTACTGTCGTATTTATCGAACAGCCAGCAGGCCAATATTGCGCCAATGTCGGCGGCATAATGGCAGCGCGAATGAAAGTCCTGGGAGTGAAGGGTGTGGTTGTGGATGGCCGAGTGCGGGACCTGGCTGAGTTGCGGAGTACACAGCTCCAGGTAAGTGTGGAAAGCCCCCTAGTTTTTTTATGCTAATATGAAAATATAATCCATCTCTATTTTAATGCAGTCTGGTCCTAAAACAATTATGAAGCCTCAGCTAACAGCAAATAATAACAGATCTGGGCCCGCGCAACATCCACCGTTGGCACCAGCGCAGAGGCCAAACCGGGTGTTCGAAATGTGCCGGTGAATATAAGCGGGGTGACGGTTTCTCCGGTAGGGAATACTCTTCCTTTTTTCCTAAAATCATAATATAATCATAATCTCTTTCCCAGGGCGACATCGCGTTTTGTGACCCCCTTGAAGGAACTGCGGTGATTCCCGCTGAACTCCTCGACGAAGTACTGGCCTTGGTGCCCAAACTTGCTGCGGCGGATGAGAAGGTCAAGGAAGATGTACTGAATGGAGCAAATGTCTTCGATGCTTTTGAAAAGCATCGCAGCATGCATTCAACTAAGTAACCTGAAGTACTGAAGTATTTTGTTGTGCTCTCATATCTTTTTTCTCTTTTTCATGAACATATCTGCTGGAGGTCTTGGTTGGGGGTTTGTATATAGTTTTCTGCAATAACGCACATATGAGATAGTTCTCAAGTGTTTATCAGTAAATATTTAGACCGGCCGTGTGGCCGTGCCTGGGACCAGGACCAAATGTTCCATAGTCCCTTTCTCAATTTATTTTGATTGTTCCCGGTCACGGATACCAGGACCTCTATCTAGTCCTAGTCACATTCATCAAATGGGACCATGAATTTTATGTTTCAATGCCTGATCTTTTATTACTTTAAATTACTTTAAATATCATTGGAGTGTTATGATTTATCAAAAATTGTTACTTATTAATTAAATTTTTTTTAGATAGTACAAAAAGAAGTCCGAAAATTTCTTAAAGTAGTAGTTTTATGCTAAGAATGGGACAGAATGATATATAATATGACCACTTTCCTATTACAACTTAGCCATGGTCCCATTCTGTGCTTTGAAAAGTGGTCACTTTTCGAATTTTAAGTGTAGGTCAGTCCCGATGAGATTCACACCCAAGAATTGTATGGGACCAGACATGAGATCAAACATGTCCATGGTCCCGGCGGCCAGTCTATTAGTATTGTAGTTCCTTAGTAGGATGTAGGCATAGTCTGGATCATTCCATCTTACTATGATGGTCTTCAAATTCTAAATAAACCGAAAATTGAAAAATATATAAATGAATAAATAAATAACTGTATATACTCATACATCAACCCATAAGAATAGCTGTATAACAGAAAGTGCGAGAGTGAAAAGGAAGAACATGAATGAGCAATGATGAGCAATGATGAGCAATGATGAGCAATGATGAGCAATGATGAGCAGTTTGGCTCTAACCATCTCTAGGAAAATGAACATAAGAAAAAGGTACCTGGAATGCATTGGAAGAACCCGCATGACCGCTAGGCGCTAGCCAACGAATTCCCCCTTTTTAAAATCGTTATCTATAACCAGCAAAACTTACTCCGCAACCCAGACAGCGGCCATACCCATTCCAGTACCAACACACATGCTAGTGACACCAATCTTCTTCCCCGTTCTCCTCAGTTCCGTCAGGAGCGTGCTGACCTGTCTAGAGCCCGTGCAGCCAAGCGGGTGTCCAAAGGCAATAGCACCGCCCTTGGGATTAATCTTCTCCAGGGGCAATCCCAACTCCTTCACGCACCACACACACTGCGACGCAAACGCCTCGTTAATCTCATAAATATCGACGTCGTCCTTGGACAAACCCGCCTTCTCTAGCGCAACGGGGATGGCTGCCCACGGTCCAATGCCCATGAGGAGTGGCTTGACGCCGACGACGCTGGCAGTGACGTACTTGCCGATGATCTTCTGACCCAGACGCTCTGCGGTGGAGCGCTTCATGAGCAAGACGGCAGCAGCACCGTCGGAGATCTGTGACGAGTTACCAGCGTGGATGCTGCCGTCCTTTGCGAATGCGGGGCGGATCTTGGAGAGCGATTCGGCAGTGATGCCGGCGCGCACGCCATCGTCACGGGAGACGGTGATGGTGGATTCCTTCTCTGTCTTTGGGTCGACGAATTTGACTGTCTGTGGGGCGATTTCTTCATCGAAGAGGCCGGCCTCCTGAGCCTTGATGGCCTTTTGGTAGGAGGTGGCGGCGAAAGCGTCCTGCTCGACGCGGGTGATGTTGCGGTCCTTCGCCATTTGTTCGGAGAGGACACCCATGGGCACTTTGCAGTTGGCGGCTTCTTCATGGCTTTCGAGCAATTCGGAGAATTCGGAGACGGCACCGGGGCTGAGGGATGGTTTTAGTCAACGTTCCTTTGATTTACTTCAGGGGGTATCGTTTTATACACAAGGTGTGCTACTAAAGCAAGAGCAACTTACCCATATTGTTGAGACATGCTCTCGACACCAGCGCCAATGCCAACATCAATCATGCCGCATTTGATGGCATTTGCAATATCAATAATGGCCTGGAGCCCGCTCGAGCATTGTCTGTTAAGAGCCTTGACAGCTGCTGTTTCGGGGAACCCGGCAACCAGAGCGGCAGCACGGAACTCAGTAGCTCCTCCTCCTGGAGGCAAGACAGAGCCAACGGCAATATCTTCGACCAGAGAAGGGTCAATCTTGGATTTCTCAATTAAGGACTTGAATACACCGGCCAGGAGGTCGGATGCGGGAGTGTCCTTGAAGCCACCCCTGCCACCCTTGGTGATGGCAGTTCGAAGGGCGCAGGTCACGACAATATCATCCGGGTGCTTAGAGGTGATAGTCGAGACTCCGCCCTTGCCGGAAAGGTGCGAAGTGACCTGTGAGAGACGTTGTGATGCTACGAGGAGGTTGTCCATGTCAGCTTTTGGAGGCGGCACAGTGACGTAGGCGTACATATGGAGATGATCACATACCTTGAGACATGGTGAGTATATTGTAGAAGGAGGTTCAAAATAACAGATTAAAAGGATCAAAGTAAGAGTATAAGGAGATGAAGAAGGAACAGGAGAAATTGAAAACAAGGAAAAACCAGAAACCAGAGGAAGAGAGTTACGAGTGGGATGGTTTATTTTATATCCGCCGTGTCCCATGTCTTTGATCACACTGGGGAATGCCGAGGCTCTTCGGATCATAGTTGTTCCAGCTGTTAAAGTTGCACGTGACCAGTTATGTAACTAATCACATTTAGCCGCAAGCCCTAACATGTGAAAATTTGCGCTTTCTCTCACCAGGAATTATTATCAGGAGAATGAAATTGTTATTTCAAGCAGCTGAAATGGATGAATTCTTGCAATGATGATGTTGAATAAACACAGTAAGCCAGTGCCCAGCTTCGGCCACTCATTCTCTCTGCATTTCATCCTAGCTCTCTATAAGTGATTGCTGTGCACTTTTATGATATGCATCTTAACATTCTGCTGTTGGGACAGAAATCCCGCTCCACCCCTAACCAGAGATTAATCCGAAGATCAATGTTTTAAGGTTTGTTATTCAGTTTGCCCTTGTAAAAATATGAAAATGTGGGAGGGAATATTTGGCCTTTCATGTGACGCTTGTTCAATGTATTCTGAAAAAAAAAAAAAAAATGTAGCACATGCAACTTTGAAAGAGGGTTTCATTGAATTTTTCCAGTAGCACTTGAGGAACAAAGCTGCTAATTTGAGATCTGTTTTCCTTGACTACTCTTCACTGGCACATGATCAACTATGTTTATATTTTAAACCCTGTCAATATAAGGGCTAGTGGAAGTGCGAATTCATCATATAATATCTGAAAGTATCTTCTAGATAGACCAATCTTCGCATCGCGGCAAGCCGGTTGCTGCGCGCAGGGTAAGTCTGGATGATGCATGTATGTACAATGTCATTGCAGAGTATCTTATTTACCCGATGGATATATGCCCATCAGTCGTTTAATAATCCAAATGATTTGAACCCGCCATCCTGTACGGCGCAGAACTAGACACCTACTAGAGGCTCCTGAAGCGTTTGGCCTAGGAAGCATCGTGCCAAGACCCGCCGAGCTGTTTAGGGCCTGGAATTCAACGTCAGATCTTTGAACGTTTTGCTGTACAACCGCTTTTAGTGATCTTTGTCTTTACACGTCTACGCTTAAACTTGAAGCCATAGCGTATTCTGGTGGTTAATTGGAATATATAACTTTGCAATGTCAATTGCAAGAGCGCCGGGTCTAGCCACCCGAGCGACCACAGGCTTTGCGACACAAATATCCGCCCGGTCAAGCCTCAATATCCCAAGATGGAGTCGGCCCCTCCTCAATAGCAGAGCGGTATACACGTTCTTAGCACAAACATATATATTTGTTTAGATACATGGAACTAACTCGCTCCAATATAGAGCTCCTATATTTCAACGCCGTACCTATGTCGTTCACTCTCCACCAGATGGCCAAGCGGCCAACCCTCCTCCTCCCCTTCCTCCCCCGCCATACCCCCGACTCTCCTCTCCATACAAAAGTGCGCATTTAATACCTCAACTTCAACGTCACCCTCACTTGAATCCACCAATCGCCCAGATGATAGCTCAACCCCAACCGCCAGCAGCAGCAGTAGCAACATCAATAGCGAGAACCCATCAACGGTATACATAAACCCACACCGCGCAAAGCGAATATGGCCACCAGATATGTCGAAGCTATCACCAAAGCAGCAGTTCAGATTAGAGCGGAAATACAGGCGGCGGGCAAAGCTAAAGTGGGCGCGGCCTACATGGACGAAGTGGACGAAGTTGGTACAGTGGGCGATTATTGGATGTATGCTCCCCGTCTCCTCAACATCTACAAGTTATAAGAAAGGCTCTATGGGGCTCTCTTGTACATCGTGGGAATGAAACTGTGGAATAGAAAAAATATATGCTGACCTAACTCCTCTTGGGGGCCGGCCGGATTAGACGTTTTGGTATATTGTGTTATGTTCATGGATTTAGGGGAGAAGGTTAATCCGTTTCAACCGGTTAGTGTATCTATGTATCCCTTCTTTGTTTCTAGTCCATGATCCATCCGTACAATTGTACAATTGATAACTAACCGAAATCCCTTGCGGATTTCTGCAATAGATCCGAGATTATGTTCATCAATTCTTGCAGGGTCTGCTATCAACTTCTTCCCCACCTTCTTTTCAAAAGGAGCCTACCACGCCTACTCCAAAGGCCGCTAAAAGTGACTCTTGAGAGTTGCTCCTAGATATTATATAGGAGTTGAGCGGAAGGGACGTCCATATGTATTAATAGATATTTGAGGGGAAAAAACATGTATATATAGTGACGTATCCTTGGAATAGGGGTTTAAAAATTCACCTTTTGATCTGGGAAGCCTGGCTAACGGTGTTCAATCTCCCTACATATATATTATCCGACTAAAAATAAGCAACTTAATCCAAAAACATGGATGTCGCCAACTGACCACTAGGTCGAAAATATTTCTTTCCTTACTGTGATGGGACTCTTTGTACGGGCTCAGCAGCTTCACTCATCCCAAGAGAATTCCGGAGCCAGAGCCACGCTGTACTCCGTAGCCAATGGACTGCTGACTGGACTTTGTGTGAAAAGTATGTGGGCTGGAGCGAATAATAATGAAGCCTCGTCTAACTTACTAAATGTTGATATTGATGTGGGACAAACTTCCCGTCTTCACACTCGCTTACCTATACGGCTCGTATCCAACCCCACGATGTAAGGACGAAGGTGAGGCTCGAAGAGTCTACTAACTAGCTATAGAGTATTATTAATCATTACTTGAGAACATCGCTTGCGAAACCCCACATTATAGCGGGAACAGCGCTGCTTGCCTTGGTAAGTTAACTAGTTAGTTAGCCGCCTTTCTCCTCACGCTACGAACAAGCTCGGATGATAGCCGGCTCTTATTCGGCTAGGAGGTACAGACAGTCCTTTGCTGCACTACTCCGTATGTATGGACGTGAGTACATGGACATAGATGGTGAGGAATTGACAGAGTTAATTCTTGATCTTTGAAGACACCGCAACGTATAGAAATTTCTGCTTTGATATGGATGGAATATGTATGGCCTATCCAAATGTGAACTAAAGTCAGATATAACTTGCTATTTTTTTTCCCTTTATTTTATTTTATTTTATTTCATGTATTTAAGACGATCTGGCTGTACACAGAACTGGCTGGCTGAGCTCCTAGAAGCTTGGAATCTAGTCAACAACCCAACCCACATCCATCTCCAGGAAGGTCAGTTAAGTTCTTGCAATCCTGGTCTCTCTCGATTTTGGCGTGTTGCGTCATGGCATACGCTCCAAGAGACGACAAGATTGGTAAATTCGGGTGTACGAACCCCATCCCTCCACTTTCACTTACAAGTGAACTCTTCCGTGAGGATAAAGCTCTAAAAATATACGTTGCGGGGTTTATGGCGGGAGGGGACCCTTTTGCGGGGGAACTCCTCAGCGGGGTAATTTACCTTGGGTAGAGTGGGTTTTGTATGTACATTAGTTTAGAATCTTGTTTCGTTTTGCTTGGGCATGAAGTGTACGAGATATCTTTTCATTCTTGGTTTAGGTATGAGATGAGCATGAGAGAGGATAGGATAGAGAGCTCTGGTTGATGTTGAGCATGCTGGAACATGGAGGATTGCATCTGGTATCTCCGATTAAATCAATAATAAAATCCAATAATAACTTCTGGATATTATTGGTATAAGTAGACGTAAATAGCTAGTAATTTATCCTCCCAGGAAAGTCATATTCCCACTGTAAGCCTTATGTAAATCATCAACAAATCAAATCCCTTTGCTCACAGCGTATATTTAAAGCCCTCGAGCCCTTCAATCGGCTTCATCGCAGTCCCTGCATCAACGTGCTTATTTCTGCGCCAGAAATGGAAAGTTGTACAAGCCAACAACGCCAGAACGAGGAGCTGCAAGCCGGTCGTTGTCCACAGGCCGGGAACAAACTTGGGGGCATCCACCTCACGGAACGTCGTCGAGGCAATAATGCCCCCGATCGCGCCAAACCCAATCTGCAGTGCACTTCCAACAGATCTCTTCGACTGCATGCGGATATTGTTAGATTGGTAGGCGAGGATGGCAGGAATATTTCCTTGACACCCGGCGGTGCCGAGGAATATGCCAAGGTAGCGAACACCGGATTTGGGGTGGTAGGCGGTGATCATAAGGCCGACGATGCCGATGATGCATTGCGCAGCGATGATGGGGGCACGAAGGCGGTACTTATCCCCCAACAAGGCAAAGGAGTAGGCAGAGATAACTGCGAAGATTACGGGCGGTGCGGAGAGGAGATTTGCGATGCCGCCGCTATATCCCATGCCCTGCCAAATTATATTTTGTGAGCTTGGACGGGTAAACCAGGTAGTGTGTTCTGGTTATGTGTCTTACCTGAATGATGGCTGGTGAGAAATAGGCAAAAGCGTATCTAAAAGAACACGGTTAGAATGTCTATCCAGTCTTCCCTCCCATCCATACAGCGGAAACTCACGCAGGGGTTGTAGTTGACATAAACATGAAAGCACTGTAGGTCGGTCGGTTAGCGAATATTTGTGTCTTTAGATACGTTCTGCCTGAATACTTACAAGGCCCAGAGCTTCCCATCCTTCAGATGCTCTCCAAACTTCGCCCAGGTTAGAGGGTCGTTCAAGGCATCAGCCCGATCTTTCTCGATGCGGTTTTTGATAAAATCGGCTTCCCGTTCCGTCAGGAAACCTGTCTTTTGAGCCTTGTCCGGGAAATCAATGATAAGGAACCACGAAACGATTCCCACCACTTGAGTGATAAGACCCTCAATGATCTGATGCATATCTAGAGTTAGCTGGTCCTCATGGGATTTAGTCCCGAATTTCTTCATAAGGCTTACGAAAATCCATCTCCAGCCAAGGTAGCCTTGTAGCCCTTCCATTTGCATGAGGCCATATGCGAGAATAGAGGAGAAGCCTCCAACAAGGACGGAAAATAGGTAGAATGCGGCAAGTCTAGCACGGAGTAAGCATTTATGTCGGCCTTCGAGTTTTTCTAGGGTAGAAAACGAGGTATACGAACCGTGTTTGCATCTCATACCGAACGTACCAACAAGAGATCAGGTACACGCAGCCAGGGAAAAATCCTATGAAAAATTGCCAAGGTTAGCCACAATGTCTGTTCATGTCAATGGTTGAGCGTATGGAGGTATACCAGCTTCGAAGAACCCCAAGAGGAAGCGCAGCGCAGTAAGAGCTTCATAGCTGTTCACGAACCCCTAGAAAAAAGTTAATACAAAGTTCAAAAATTGAAATATCGAAGCTAGCCACGCACCTGACCCAACATGAAAGACCCCCATGCGAAGGCAATGAAGGCAAGCCAGTTGGCACTTCCAACCTTTCGAAGGACGATATTCGAAGGGAGCTACAGATCACCAAATAGCAGGATTAGCGGTGTTATTCTTGTACGGGGAAGCATCAAAAGAAAAAAAAAAAAAAAAAAAAAAAAAAAAAAAAAAAAAAAAAAAAAAGTAAAAATTTTTCCTTTTGTATGACCTACCTCGAAAAGGAAGTACGGAATGAAGAACACAAGCAAGGCAATGGTATATCGTGAGCCTATGTAAAGTTCCAGCTCCTTGTGCATCCCGGCCACGCGGGCATTCGATATCTGTGAAAGAAAGTGGTTATCATCCTGCTCAAGCAAGCGGTATCAAAAATGAAAACCGATGATAAAAGGGGAATCATACATTGACACGGTCGATTAGCGCAATGGCATACAAGGCTCCTAGGATGGGAAGTAGCCGCCAGTCGACTTTGCGTATCAAGGCTTTCTCATTGGCTGCTATGGCTTCATCGGCATCCGCCCCGGCAATCTCGATTTGCTCTTCCCTAGAAGAACTATCCTCACGCTTCTCGTGGTCCACCTCAGAAGCTTGAGCCATATTTGTTTCAACAATTGGAGCCAAGTTGCGAAAATGTTCAATTCAAGAGGCAAAGGCTAGAAAACAGTATGATAGGGGAATACCAAGTTGGTAAAGGGGGATACGCTTGAGTGGACAACCCTTCTCGTGAAAGTTCGAGATGCTCTGATGTTTGTTTCCAACTCATTGTCCAAGGCATGGCCAGTTTCGGATATGAGCGACAGCAATGCTTTTAAACCATTGATTTTACGGTGACCAAACATTCCGCAAACGATAGAAAGAGCCGAAGAAATGCTCATGCCTTGGTTGGCAACATGCAGGTATTACAACCCCCGCTTTTGTAGAAACAGCATCTCCTAACCAGCCAAGGAGAGGTCGTTGCGAGAATAGGGCGCCGAGGGACAAGGTTGGTGGCAGGCCGGTGTCTTCGTCTGCTCAGCTTCTCGATTCTGGCTACGGCCAATGAGCGGCATATGGAGTGATGGAATGGCGTTTTACCCCAGAGATGATAGGGGGAAATGTATCGGGTCCCATATTATTTTCATGGTAAAGGAGAAGTTGTATGCTAGCGCGAGTCCAATGCCCTGCTTCCGAGGTGAACATTCCTCAACTTCGAGATCGAATTCGGGAAATGGATGCAGGGATTTGCAGAGCACTTGACACTCAGTAACGTGGAGGCTAGCTCGAAAGTTAAGCCTTAATTCTTAACCTTGTCACAACCTAGCAAAATGCGGGGTGGAGCCGTCGTATAGTTCCGAAAGAATTCCAAAAAAAGAAAAATAAATTATGCTGACCCTGACTGACTGCTTGGGTTGTTTCACAGGCAATTTTCCTTGCACTAGGGGCATGAGGCCGTGTGCAAATGAGCGAGGAAGAGGCCCTGACATTTGATTCATGCAGTGCGGTCGGTGGTAGCCCAAGTTGCATTGCATACTATGCTAGGGACGGACAAAGCAGCCACGCGACGATGCACGGAAAAGTCCAAAACGCAGCTATCCCAGTTAAAGTGTCAAGACCGATGCAGGAAATCCGGAGGATTTAAAATAGCGTCTTGGAAAGCTGGCTCAATCCCCAGCTATGAGGTAACTAACTAACTAGTTACACGACATCTGAGTGGCCGGCGGTGGTGGCGGCTTGCGACTAACAACAAGCGACTGACTCCAATAATGTAGCGGCTGGCATCAGCACCGGGCATTGTCTGTGACATTTTTGCCCGAGATAGGGAATTAATTTATGCTCCCCCTTGCACTTCGATAGAAGCAAGACTCACGAGCAAAAGGACCCCATTCTCTAGCTCGTTATGGCGGCGACATTTGCTCTGGGTACTGACAGGTTTGTCGTGTCCACGAATGTTGTCGTTAAATGTCAGCTGATATCTATCTACCTTGGATATAACTACAGTTAGAACTCAACAAACGTGCATACTATACTCCGTACTGGCGAGAATGTAATCATTCCCACTATCGTATCTGTCGATTCCCCCCTCTATTTTTAACTTTGTTGAACCACCTCCACACCTCGGCAGGACGATGGCAGGTAATAATAATAATAATAATAATGTTGAAGGATCTGGAAGGGCGTGAATCCGACCAACAAGTCGACCGCCAGCCCTCAACGGTTCTCCGCCAAATGGATGAGGTATTCATGACTGCCGGGAATGCGGGGCTTAAGGAAACTTTGCGCATCCACTTGAATGCCGCGGAATGCGTTTTCTTTTACTGCAGCTCGCTCTAGATTTTTGGGAATTGAACTAGTGTACAGAGCTCTTCAGAGAGCGCTACTTACTCTGCCGCCTAGATGGAAGGAACAGAGTTGCTCAACTGGACTATATCTAGAACACACGAGATCAATTGACAGAGGTTTGTTTGACGGGTGCAGCTAAATAAATAAGAGGTTTAAGTAAGGACCTATTCCCTTATACGGTTAAGAATATGATGATATTTATAAAAAGTATCAGGGAAGGGGTAATAGAACTCAAAAAGAGAAGCAGGATATCAAACATAAACAGTCACGTTAGAAGAATTGGAATGTCATTAAATATTCCATTCATTCATCACTCATTGATGCCTCCTGACAAGAAGAAGGCATGACATGTAATTTGTGCGGTGCGTTTGTTCATCAACATCATTCCCATATGCAAAAGCAGCATACCAAAACATAAAGGGAGCTCTGCTAGTCATTAGCGGGAGAAATTCAAATTGAAAAGAGA